GGGGGGGGGAAAGCAGGCCAAGGACAGAGGCGCAGCCCTAGAGAGGGCTGGAGACGGGGTCCAGTGGGACAGAGCAGGCAGCAGCGGTACCTGATCCGGGGCCTCTGGCTGCAGCCTCCTTTGCTGGCTAGTCCCATCCCTGCCCTTTGTCTCGGGTGCTGGGGCTCCATTTCCTCTCCCAGGGCTCTTGTGTAGAAAACCCCCTTAACTGTGAGCAACCTCCCAGGCCGTCTCAGCCGAGGCTCCACCTCCTTCCTGCTTTGGCACCAGGGGTGGGAGGGCCCTGGGGTGGTTTGCTTCCTTAGGCTCCGACCCACCTTCTCCTGGGCCCTCCCTCTTGGCAGAGGTCAGTCTCTGATGGAGCTGGACCCCTCTGTGCAGCAGGACCCGAGGTTATTGCAAAGGGAAAGAGAAAGTAAAGATGCCAGAGAGAGGGGGATGGGACAGACCCTGGCGGAAGAGAGCAGGACAAAGACTTGCTCCCATTGGGGGAGGGGCGGGCTGGAGCCCTCTCCACCCCACCCCTGCACCCAGCCCAAATCTGCACCTGGCTCTACACTCGCCTGTTGAATGAATGGAGACAATGAGAAAGTATGGACCTTGGATCAGGACTCCTTATTTTCTCCTGGCATAGCCAGAAGTGAGGGGACAGATGTGCTTTGAATTCCTACTTCTGTGCTTGGTCCTCGGCAAGAGTCCCCTCAGCCTTCGCGTGGCAGAGAGAGGGCATGCTTGCACGAAGGCTCTCTTTATAAGGACACTAATCCCCTCATGGGGGTCCCATCCTCATGACCTCATCTAAACCCAATCACCCAAAGACCCCACCTCCAAATTCCATCACACTGGGGGTTAGGGCTGTAACAGAGTAGAACAAACCTGACTTCGTATTGAATCTATTCCTTTATCTCTAACCCTTGTGCTCTGTTGCCTGTGCTTAGTCATGCTGGCTCTGCACCTTTATAAAAGAATGTTGCCTAGAATCTCCCATGGATTCAGGCTCTGGGTCCCACTCTTTAGAGAAGGGGTGGCAAATTATGGCCCCAGGCTAACCACCTGATTTTTTGTAAATAAAATTTTATTGGGACTCAAAAAAGAAAGGGGAAGTCAGGGAGTTCCCTGGTGATCTAATGATTAGGGTTCGGCACTTTCATTGCTGTGGCCCGGGTTCAATACCTGGTCAGGGAACTGAGATTCCCACAAGCCTTGTGGTGTGGCCAAAAAAAAAAAGGGAAGGGGAATCAATCAATAAATGTTACTTCAAACACACACACACACGCACACACACCACACACACACGCACACACACCACACACACACACACACACACACACACACACAAGAATGTTGCCTAGAGCCTGGAATATAGCTGATAGCCCATTCTCTAGCCTCTGACCTTTAAAGACACACTTTTCCATTCATATAGAGATAAAAAGTTGCAGAACAGGGACTTCCCTGGTGGTGCAATGGTTGAGAGTCCGCCTGCCGATGTAGGGGACACGGGTTCGTGCCCCGGTCCGGGAAGATCCCACATGTCGCGGAGTGGCTGGGCCCGTGAGCCATGGCCGCTGAGCCTGCACATCCGGAGCCTGTGCTCCACAACGGGAGAGGCCACAACAGTGAGAGGAAAAAAAAAAAAAAAAAAAAAGTTGCAAGACAGAAAATAACAATTATCTTGTTGGAGGTTTATGGGAACATTGTGACCAGACCTACCTGGACAGCTGCAAGAACAAAAGATTCCTGCAACGACCAGCCACACCCCCCTCCCCTTTTATTTATTTATTTAACTTATGCTTAGTATTTAATGGTAATTTAAATGTAAGTGCAATAAAAAGTGAAAACCTGAAAAAAAAAAGAATTCCATTGTGTATATTTACATAATAATGTATGTTATCGATCACTTCAGGAGCAGATTTAAGTTGTAATCGCTCACATCCTTGAGCTAGATCCTAATCCTATATCCTTACAGCCTAAGTCTTTGAGCACCTACTTCATTGTTTCTCTTTTGTTCTCAATGTCCTGTCTAGGGAATATTCTTTTTTTTTTTTTTTTTTTTTGCGGTACGCGGGCCTCTCACTGCTGTGGCCTCTCCCGTTGCGGAGCACAGGCTCCGGACGCGCAGGCTCAGCGGCCATGGCTCACGGGCCCAGCCGCTCCGCGGCATGTGGGATCCTCCCAGACCGGGGCACGAACCGTGTCCCCTGCATCGGCAGGCGGACTCTCAACCACTGCACCACCAGGGAAGCCCTAGGGAATCCTTTGAAACCCATACCCTTAACCACAGTATTAAGATCCTCCAATAAGCAGGGATTAGATGTGTAAGAGAATTTGGAGGGAAACACCTCTAAGGGAACAATGGGGAGGGAGCCAGAGCAAAGGGGAGAGCTGGTGATGGTAAAGGAGTGGGGAAGCAAGGAAGTTTCAATAGAAAGCATCTTGGAGTGCAATGCAGTTTAGAGCATTTTCTCTAGGTCAATGGGGAAACCTCAAGCCAAAGTTACCTGTCAGAGGAGTTTCGTGTCTCACAGCAACAGGCCTGCCATACTCCCCATCTCCTCAGTCAGTGGCTGGGAGCAGCCTGGAGGAAATGTGGTGGATTCATAACGCAGCAGTCCAGGCTGTCAGGATTATGCTTGGAGATCTGAGATGCACGTTCTCATGGCTGCCACAAACACCATCTGTGCTGTACAAAAACTTGGTACTATTCATTCATTGATTCATGACACATCGAGGGCACAAATAGAGTACAATGTGGTGCTTACATCCTAGTAATTGGCCTCAGTTTGAGTGGATCATCACAAGTAAATTTTTAGAAATTAGAAACAGAAATAGATTTCCAGACTCTTGAGGAAGATCTTCAAGGTATGGCTTCATTATCTTATTTGAAATTAATTTTCAGGTTCTGAGGTAAATTCAAAGCTAAATACTAAATGGGGTTTGAGTTCTTCCTCACTGCGTAGACCCAGTCCTGTATTCATATCACTTGATGCAGATAATCTGGGTGAGTTTTACATAATAAATTAAAGTCTAGAACCTGAAACAACAGCTGCCATTTCTAAACAATGTTTGAGAGCGAGAACACCCCCTCCCCTTTTAGTATTAAAGAAGCCTGAATTCTAACTTGGGTAAGATGGTTCTTTGGGACACTAGTCCACCATCTTCTCGGTCTGCTGGCTTTCCAAATAAAGTCACTATTCTTTGCCCCAACACCTCATCTCTCAATTTATTGGCATGTCCTGCGGCGAGCAGTACAAGTTTGGACTCGGTAACAGGGCTTCAACATACAAATTTGCACACAAATGTTCATTGTGCACAAGTGGCACAGACCTTTAGCCCACAGCAGGCTGTGCCCAACAGGATTCCTTTGGTTGCCTCCTGGACAGTGGTGATTTATCACTGCTCTCAGTAGCGTAGGTGCTGCCTCACACCCAGAGCTGAAACTTTGGTGCATATGCCTTTCCAGAAGTCGTGTTCACTGCTACCTCACGGGAGGCCCGGAATGTGGGTAATTTTAGCTGGGCTGTTGCTGCCCTTAGCAGGATCTAGATCTCCTAGTGGAAATAAAATGACATACTTGGCACTCACTGCCAAATTGCTTTCTAAAGCTCTTGTGCGAACAGACACCTCCAGGAGAAATAAAAAGTGTTACCATTTCCCATATCTTCACCAATACTGGTATTATGAGACCTCTCATTTCCCAACCTTCTGGAATGTGAAAAGCTATCTCATTGAGGTTTTATTTTATACTTTCCTGATTTCTAGTGAGGCCAAGTGTCTTTTCTTTCTTTTCTTTTCTTTTTTTTAAAATATATTTATTTATTTACTTATTTGGCTGCACTGGGTCTTAGTTGCGGCACATGGGATCTTTGCTGCCGCATGCAGGATCTTCGCTGTGGCATGCGGGATCTTTTAGTTGCAGCATGCGGGCTCTTAGTTGTGGCATGCACGTGGGATCTAGTTCCCTGACCAGGGATCAAACCCGGGCCCCCTGCATTGGGAGCTCGGAGTCTTAACCACTGGACCACCAGGGAAGTCCCCCAAGTGTCTTTTCATATTTTTCTGTCCCTTCCATTTTCTTCTTTTATAGAGTTGTTGGCTGCATCCTTTGTATATTTTTCTAGTAGGAAGTTTTCTTTCCTTATTGCTTTATAAGAATTTTTTGATATTCTGCGTAGTAATCCTTTGTCAGTTATATACATCACAAATACTCTCTTCCAATCTGTGATAAAGCTCTTAGTTTATGAAGTCTTTCCATGTGTAGATGTTTTAATTTTTAATGTTTTCAAATGTAACCATTTTTCCATGTACTTGTTTGATATAACATAGATAATTAATTTTTAATTTTGTATATGGAAAGCCAATATAAGAACAATTTAATGAATATCTATCCATGTCCTCCTGTCCTATGTGTAATGACGCAAACTTATTTAATGTGTGTGTGTGTGTATAGGCTGTCTCTGAATTCTCTCATCTGCTCCATTGTCTAAGCCTGTGCGACTACCATATTGTTCTCCTTATGTCTTTCTAGTACTCTTAATATCGGATATGGAGATCCATCTTGCCTTCTTACTCTTTGAAATTGTATTGACCCCTTATAGATCCATATGAATTTATGGACAAAACTTTTCATGTTCCATGAAAAATCCCAGTATCAATGGGGAAGGATAGACATATTTGTGGCATTGAATCTTTCCATCCATTAACATGGTATGTACCTCAATTTATACAGGTCTTCTTTGATGTTTTCCATAAGTCTTATACTTTTTCATAAAGATCTTACACATTTTGTCAGGTTTATTTCTAGTAAACTTTTTTGGCGATATTGTAGACTTCATCTACCTTTATACTTTTGTTTGTTGCCAGTATCTGGGAACAAGATTAATTTTTCTAAATTGAACTTGGATCTAACCCAACCTTGCTAAGAACTTGCTTACTATTTCTAGTAGTTTCTGTTCTTTTCCAATCCCTGAAGCTCTTATTTCTAATTGTGGTCCTGGGACACTGGCTTGGACCACTGTACAGCACTGAGCAGCCGCAGTCATAAGGGGCATGCTGTGTCCTTCCAGTTTAAAGAAAATTCTTTTTTTTTTTTGGCTGCTGCCATGCGGCATGTGGGCTCCTTATTTCTCTGACCAGGGATCAAACCCACGCGCCCTGCAGTAGAAGCGCGGAGTCTTAATCACTGGACCGCCAGGGAAGTCCCAAGAAAATTCTTCTAAGACAGGGAAATAAAAATTACAAGTCCTGTATTCT